CCGTGTGCCGCGCGCCCTTTCCCGGGTGGCGCAGGCCTTGCAGCCGGCGCAGCGGCACGCGTCCCCCGGCCCGTCGGGGCTGCAGGGCTGGCGCTGACGGCCGCGTTCTCCCGCTCCCTCTCTCCCCTCAGAAAGCGGCCGAGAAGCTGAAGGAGGAGGAGCGGCGGCGGCTGGCGGAGGTGGAGGCGCAGCTGGAGGCGCAGCGGCAGCGGGCTGAGGCGCACGCGCAGGCCAAGGCGCAGGCGGAGGCGGAGGCGCGGGAGCTGCAGCGGCGCATGCAGGAGGAGGCGACGCGGCGCGAGGCGGTGGCGGCGGACGCGGAGCAGCAGAAGCAGAACATCGAGCAGGAGCTGCGGGAGCTGCGGCGCAGCTCGGAGCGGCAGATCGAGAGCAAGGCCAAGCTGGTGGAGGAGGCGGAGCAGAGCCGCGTCCGCGTGGAGGAGGAGATCCGGCTGATCCGCCTGCAGCTGGACGGCACCGAGCGGCAGCGCGCGGGCGCCGAGGCCGAGCTGGCGGAGCTGCGGGCGCGCGCCGAGGAGGCGGAGCGGCAGAAGCGCGCGGCGCAGGAGGAGGCGGAGCGGCTGCGGCGGCAGGTGAAGGACGAGAGCCAGAAGAAGCGGCAGGCCGAGGAGGAGCTGCGGCGCAAGGTGGAGGCGGAGCGCGAGGCGGCGCGGGAGAAGCAGGCGGCCATGGCCGACCTGGAGGCGCTGCGGCTGCGGGCCGAGGAGGCGGAGCGGCGGCGGCGGAAGGCGGAGGAGGAGAAGGAGAGGCAGATCCGCGTGGCGGAGGAGGCGGCGCAGCGCAGCGCCGAGGCCGAGCTGCAGAGCAAGCGGCTGTCGCTGGCCGAGAAGGCGGAGCGGCTGGAGCAGTCGCTGCGCGAGGAGCACACGGCCGTGGAGCAGCTGCAGGAGGAGGCGGAGCGGCGGCGGCGGCTGCAGGCGGAGGCGGAGGCGGCGCGCGAGGAGGCGGAGCGGGAGGCGGAGCGCTGGCGCCTGAAGGCCAACGAGGCGCTGCGGCTGCGGCTGCAGGCGGAGGAGGTGGCGCAGCAGAAGGCACTGGCGCAGGAGG